AGATCAAAGTATTGTTAGTACGTGTCTCATATCCACTGCATCTTTCATTCACCTGCGTCGTATTAGTTTAGGGCAGGGTCTGCCTTTTCGCGCGTAACCCGACTCTACAGTCTCGTCGAGACTTGACATGCGGTGATTGATCGATTTTGTTCTCCTTCACTGTGCTCCGGAGGACAATGACATGTCTCACATGAGGTGAGGCGTCGACACCAGTGAGGAAAGTTGAACCGAGCAGACGCCAGGTTCCTGCTGCTAACTTCCACCATATTCTCGGTGAGTATTGTCGTTTTCATCTTCGATCATATTCTTCTCGTACAACGCCTGAGACATGTTGGTTTTTAGCTCAGTGCCCACAGCCCTTCGCCTACATATAAGGTCGCTCTACGTCGCTTCTCCATCCTCTTTTTGCCGCTCACCTCGCGCTCACCCTTGCTCCGTATCCATGTCGCGACATTCTCTGGCGGTGTGGGCAAATACATTCGCCCAGCAGACTCTACTGTCTACGAGATCCCTCCCCTCGCGTGCCTTCCCTGGGTCGATGTCTGCACTGGATCGATGTCTGCGCTAGGTCAATGTCTACGCTGGGTCGAGGTCTACGTTGGGTCGAGGTCTACTTACGCCTACCACTGTCCCGGTCCGGAAACCCTTCGTGGATGAAAGTGTAGTCAGGTCGGTTGCGCATCGCGTCTAGATTGGATCAGGTACGATTCGTCTCCATGATCTCTGCTGCGTCCACCGCGAAATCTGGCTTACAGCTGTTCAACGATAGGCACGCTTGCGAGGGCCGCGAACAGTGCGGGGCCTACGCCTCCGACCTTAGACTGATCGACGCGCTACTTGCGCCTTTGCCCTCCAAATCTCGCTCACTTCGTGTTATACGGTCATCTCGCTGGACGGTATTGCACTTCGGGTGAGCAGGATGTCTACACTCCGCCGTGAACGCTCACATATCGCCCTTAGCTGATACGCATATTATTCGATTTCGGGCATGCTCTGAGCGTCGCGAGTTCCCTCTCCCTCCTGTATGTGTCGTTCACTTTCTGTCAGGACATGCTCTCAATCAGTGTGAACGGGTCGGCGGTAAGCACTGTTTCAACTTGGAGTAACCACGGCTCCACTCCCTGTAGGCAGATCATCGTTCACAATGTAGTAGCTGAAGTTTATATGGATATGCATGTTCGTCCGTTCCTTAAAATCTGTTCATCTGCATGAATGCTCGGAAGCGAAGCGACGAAGCTCTTGTAATACCTCACCACCATACTGCTGTTTCAAGTTGACTGATGTGCACACTTTGTCTCAACTCAACTACAGAGAAACTGAGATGGAAGTGTGACGAGGGTATATTGAGATGATATTTCACTACACAGAAATCGAAACGACTAAGAGATACAGATCCGAGGACAGAAACCGAGACGAATCCAATCCACCACATGAAGGAGGCGCGAGAGACAATCCGAAGCCTGGTACAGAGAAGTCCGAAGTCCGAGTCTGAGTACAAAGTCCAAGAGAGGGAGGCTACTATATCGAGGAAAAGATACAAAGACGATGCTAGAGAAGAAAAGAGAAATAGAGGCGTAGAAGTCGAGGGAGAATCCGAGTCTGGAGTCCAATACAAACGAGTTCGATGTGTCCGAGTCACAGTCCGAGAGATAGAGAGGAGAGAAAAGTACAAAGACGATACGGAAGAAAGACCAAGTCGCGAATGATAAAAAGAAGAATCCAAGGCATACAAATCTAGATAGTAATAAGGATACGAAGGAGAAGAAGGGACCAGGCGACGACGACTCAGAAGGTAATGGACAGTGATGGAGGAAGAAGAAAGAAGAGGCACGACGACGACGACGGCGGTGGGTGGAGGATGAGGCAGGTAAATCCTTGGGGCGACTAGGAGACGACAGTAAGCGTTGAGAGGGTTGACCAGTGACCGGCACTAGAACTGGCGGGAAGCGAGGGTAGACGACGACCATTCGGAGCGAGTTGCGAGCGATGTAGAGCAAGAGTGGAGCGACGAAGAGCATTTGGAGCGAGAGCAGCGCGGAGAACTTGCAAAAGCGAGAGCGAAGTAGATGAAGCAGCCGGAGTAGAGAGATTCTAGAAGAACGCGAGTAAGTACATGTCGGCGAAGCCACACAGAAAAAATAGGCAACTTACAAGTTTATGCATAACGCGATGCTTGCCAGCCCGGAATTAAACACGGGACCCGGGGTAAATCACGGGTTACATGAGCTAAAGACCGGAGTCAGCAAAGTTCAAATGAGCGAGAAAGTGAAGGAGAACTCACCGAGAGCATAAACAAAATCTGAAGCGCATTGTGAGCTAGGAAGCGAGGAACGAAGTTGCAGCTGAGAGCAGATTTCCAGAGGAGAGCAGAGAGCAGAGAGCAGAGAGCGAAGTGCAGCGAGTTGCAGAGCAGATTTGCAGTGGGGAAAGGTCGTCGTCGAGGAAGGTTGGTACAGAAGGGCGCCATTGTCGTCAACTTGAAGACCAGTGGTCGAAGGAAGTGGGAGAGGGTTGGGGAGGATATCGTCGTCGTCGTGCTAGAGGAAAAAGAGGGGGAGGGGAGTCGTCGTCGTGAGGTCAGATCTATCAACATGGATACAAGGTATAAAAGTAGGATGAACGGTATGAAACGAAATGGAGAAGTAAAGAGATACGATAAAGACGGGGACTAGAAAAGAGACTGTGGTAATGATAAGGAGAAAAAAAGAAAATCGAGAGGACGATTCTCCATACGAGAATGCAAGATATCGAGAGGCTATTGGCGGCGAGTGTGACAGTCGACTCTGCAAAGACGTCAGCAAGCCGGGTCACAATCGACAAAGACACTACACTCACGAGTTCATTACCCGTGTCGGTCCCTGTTTGATTGTATGGATTCCAGGAAGGCGAAGGCGCATCTCGCAATCTACGAGAAAGACATCAACTTCAAGTCAAAAAAAAACATCATAAACGCGACGTACTTCAATCCCCGTCAGCTCATGCCCTATCTGCTGCGTAAACACTGCTCGCGCATTTGCATACTGAATATGTATGTCATCCATTGAGTGCACCTGCAAAATAGGTGAGATAATGAAGACTGTAGCACGGGAGTATCAACAACGTACATCGAATGGATTCTCCATCGCCGGCCTTGCTCTCCTCATTTGTGGGCGACCTCTATACCCGGCAAGAGCTGCTCTGAACTCCTCAACTATCCTATCATCCTCATCTCCCTCGACCAGGGTGGCTTCAGTGAACGTGGGCGATGCGGGGGCGAGAGCGTCGTCGTCGGCTGAGTTACTTGAGGAGGCAACAGGCGAAGCAGGTTCGGCGGGAGCGGGGACGAGGGCGGGCTCGGGCTCGACGATGTCTTTTTGCTCGGCGGGTTCATTGACAAGGTCGACCGGTGCGGATGCGGGGACGTTCTCAGGCTGAACGAGAGGCTGCTGTTCCGGTACAGCAATATCCCGCTCAGCCAGCTGAACGACGACCTAGGGGATGGTGTGGCGGGGGACGACGAGATGACCGTGGGTGGCGCAGAAGACGACGGAGGAGGGAGGCAGAGCCGACCAGGTGGAAATGACGAAGTCTTTGAAAGCCTCGAGGGTAGTGGTTTTCACAGGGGACGTTCGACTGAGTGGAAGGAGGGGAATGTATCGTAGTCGAAGGCCACGGCGTACGAGGAAGACGATGGTGAGGAGGACCACCATAATGCTTGCTGAGACCAGGTATGCGAGGGGGCTGCTCAGGTGATGGGCCGGCGATGGGACCGTGGGTGTCGGCGGGAGCTTCGGGACGCGAGTAGGCGGCGGGATGCGGAGGAGCTCGACGAGGGCGGCGACCTGAACCTGGGGGACCAACACGATGGCGACGAAGAGGGCGAAGACAGTGTCGGTGGCGGACTGAATGCTGGTGACGAAGGGGGCGAAGAAGACCTCATAGGCGTGGGGGTTGAGGATGCCGATGCCGAGGAGGAAGAGGAAGAGGTGCATGGCGGAAGAAGTTACTGGTGGGCTTGTGTGAAAGGGTTGATGAGGTGTGATTGACGAAGGGGGTACACAGAAGCGGGGCGGGGGCGAGAGGGGGAGCGGGCAGGCGGGGTGGGACGTCCTCTTTATAGGAAGACGAAGGAGGGGGAACGCGTCGCGTCGCGTCTTGTTGATTGCGAATAAACAGACCACATGATCGACGCGTCGACGCGTCGAGGGCGCGGTCACTGTGGCGGCGTCGTTCACCTCCGTCGCTGCTCGCTGCAACTCGAACGCTGTCAACGCCCGGCCGATCGATGCTTCGTCCGGTCGGCAACGCCCACCGCGGTGTGACCTCCTTCGGTTCCGATTCAGATCACACTGAAGGTCGTCCCGAGACTCCCAGCTGGGTACGCGCATTAGCACGGCGGAAGAGATGACTTCAACATTGTTCAGTGTGCAGCTCTTGTACGTCGCATGCGCAGCAGGAGCGGTCTGACAATCAGGTGTCAGTATCACTTCATGGAGAGGACACGAGCACACACGATGAAGAACTATCGACGGTCGAGTGAAGCTCAATGATCACAGAGATCTTTGAACACCGTAGCGATGGACATTGGAAGGTTGAGGGAGCGACAGAATGCCAGAATCAGCGCAAGCGCTCAAGCGCCCATTACGATGGTCGTGTTTGGCCTTCCGCCACTTCCAGACTGCAGTCAAGTTATGCTGATCCTCGGGTCATGAAGAAATCGACCGGAAAAAAAGACCTCGCATGGATGAAAATGAGAGATTATATCACTAGTCAACAACTCCGGCTGATTTTTTTATCAAGAATGAGCGTGTGTTGTCAAAATTCCAAGAGTCACAGCACTGGCCCGGGACCCGGGTCATGGGGCCTATTACTTACATCTTCGCATTTCTCAGTGTACCTCGTTCGCAGCTCTAGGTCCTTGCTCAGCTTCCAGAAGTCGAGGTTTGGTTAGTCACCAGGCGAAAGTGTGAATCAAATTACCGCGAAAGTTCATCACGCTCACCAAACCCTTTCTTTTCGTCGGCCTGATGGTCTAGTGGTAAGATACTTGCTTTGGGACTACCAAGTCACGTGTGCAAGGGATCCCGGGTTCAATCCCCGGTTGGGCCCTCTTTTTGATGCTTTTTGATGTCGTAGATGATGTTCGAGAGCTCCTGGAGAAATCTGGAAGCGATTTGATCAAAAACTGAGCGAATGAGAGACGCAGCAAAACTCGGAAGATATTAAGCGCTCATACTCGATCGCGGTGGTCTAGTGGTAAAAGCGTTGGCAAATTCGCTTGCGAGGGCTGATGATGTCATGGATGCGCGTCAGGATGAGGGCAGCGGGAGGAGCGGAGGAGGAGCTTGAGCCACGACCTCTGCGCAGTATATAACAGCCTCCATCATGTCCTCCTCCTCCTCCCAGTCCAACACACCTCCACCGCCGTCTCAGCCATCCAAGATGTCCCCGTACACAAAGTCGGCCTCTGCCATCCCCTACCCCCCCGCTGCCCACGTCCACACATCCAACATCGTCGGCACGCAACCGTCACCGACCGCCACCATGACCGCGTCCAATAATAAGGACTCAGACAAGGCGCGAGATGGGCAGGAAGGTCCGGCGAACAGAATACGAGGTGGCTGCATACCATGCCCAGTACGTCTGTGTTCTTGTTCAAGTGCACGCTCCTTTACTCATCATCCTTGCAGGACGGCTTCTGCTTCTGCATACCCTTACCTTGCTGCTGCTAAAGCACAAGCGCAGTTGTACACGATACCGTACCATCCTCAGATGCCAGGACCACTTGTACATTACCGCTGTTTGTATCCAAACCCCCGACATACGCTCTCCAATGAACACTTGTATATATAAACTCATCATTCGAACTTTTACTTTACACACGACCCCGTTCTTTACACACGCCTTCCTACTATATAGCATACCGTATATCATAACTATCCACTAGATGCAAGTCCGAATTCCTTCATGCAGCGTGATGCAGCTTCACTAGGAGCGGCATCTGGCTCCCATTCTCCGGTTCACTCAAGACGACCGGTCGCTGGACGATTGTCGTGAACTTGCTAACGTCTTCGGGTTTGACAGCGAGGTCGAATTCGAAAGTGCGAATCAAAGTGAAGAGCAAGGCCTTTATCCTGTAGACACCGCATCAGTCATCGTATCTCTGGGCCCTATGAGGAAGCAACTCACTCGATGAGTGCAAACCTGTAACCGATACAAGCACGCGGACCATCCAGGAAGCTGAGGACATGGCCCCAAACACCAGGCATGCCTGCGACGGCTTCTGGGAGGTTCTCCCAGCGCTCGGGCCTGAATTCGAACGCGCCTTCGCCCCAGATGTGTTTGTCGCGGTTGACAGCAGCGATGGGAATGGCGACGAGGTCACCCTTGGCAATCCTGCACAACCAACATAAGAGGCTGATCCAGTCAATACAGAAATATAGCTACTCACTGGATGCTATCCCTTTCAACACCATTCCTGTCTTTGTACGGAGTGGATACCGGGATCTGGTCGTCCTTCTCCGCGACTCGGATCGTCTGCGGAACAGGCGCATGGAGACGCAACGTCTCTCGGACGACCATGTCCAGATACGGCAAGGCCGTCACGGTGAGCTCTTCCATGCTCGGCGTGCTATGGGTCACCTGGAGAAGCTCTTTTCGCAGCTTCATCTGGACTTCAGGTGCTTGGCTGAGAGAGTACAGGCACCAGGTGACGGCGGTGGCGGTCGTCTCGTGGCCAGCTACGATGAATCTACATGCGATGTCAGCGGCGAGAATTGAATGACCGAGTGAGTACTTACGTGGGCACCTGCGCGAGGACGTCTTCGTCGCTCATCCTCATATTCTCGGGGACGTCGGAGGCCATGTTCGCTTTGATGAGCAGTGAAAGAAGGTCCTTTCCCTGGAAGTCGCTTTTCTCGACACTGCCCGAGGTTTCAGAAAGGATGGCCGCTTTCTTCTGCTGGATAAGTTCCATTCCGATCCGATGCATCGTCTTCAACGCGCCGTCGACTCGCCTCGAACGTTCTGTAGGCTGAATGACGAAATGTCAATTCACGAAGAGCCCCTATGGCGACAGGTGCACGTACCAACAACCGCAAAGGCGGAATGAAGATCCTCGCCATAGCCAACAGCGCAGACTCGTTCTCTTCAAAAATCGTCTTGAACGCCGTATTGAGTTCGTTTGGCTTTGAGGGATCGGGGTTGAGCGCGCCGAAGTCGTAGTCGAAGCCCGCGAGGCCGATCACGTCGAGTGCCATGCGGCTCAGTCCGTCGAGGACGTTGATCCGGGTGGGTTTGCCCTCGGAGGAGAGTTTGGTTTTCCAGAGGTCACGGAGCTGGGGGCGGCGTGAGCGGCGTGAATGACGAGAGGGCATGTTGTATGGGTACGAACCTCGCTGGCCTTGTCAACGATGATTTCCGTCAACTCTCGGACTTGAGGTGTACCAAAGGCAGGGTTCTAGACGCGAATAATCTCAGTGAAAATTTTTGAAGGCGGGTGAGGAACTGACCATAGCACGGCGCTTAACAGGCACGCGTTAGCTGAGTACTGGCTGAAGTTGAGTAATTACAAACCTGTATCTTGTGCTGCTCTCCTTCCGCCACCAGGACTCCTAAGTAGCCTGTCAGTCAAGTGTGGCTGATAACTCGAGGAAACCCCTCACCTTTGCCCAGGATACTGCTCAATGTGAATTTCGTGAAAAGTGGCTTCCGATATTCCGTCGAATGAGTAAGGACGTGATTCAAAGCCTTCAAATCATGCGTATACAACCGCTGTGCCTACATAATCTATCAGGAGAAGTCCTCACACCTCTCGTCAAGAGATGCACAGCGCACTCACCCCGAACATGGCATTCAACACAATGTTGTTCCCGTACTTCTCCACCCATTGTTCTTGCTTCAGGAGGTTATCGGTGGTGAACTTCTGCCTGAAGTGGCCGAAGAGCCAGCTGGGGTTAGGAGGTCCGGGGAGTTGCTTGAGAGGGGATAACCAGGGTCGGACGAGGGCTGGGCCGACTTTGAAGGCGACGATCGCGAGGAGTGCGATGGTGATGGTGAAGGGTATTCCGAAAGCCATGGTTGTCGATTCAGTTTGAGGAATGACTGGGAGGTCTGCGAGGACGAAGAGGCTTTGAATGGCCTATATATTCTACCCTCCTCTCTACTTCGTCATGCCCTTGTCATTTCTGCGGCTCGTCGAGACCCTAAGGAGAAGGTGGTGAACGGATGCGCTAAGAACGGCCAAATCGGGTTACCCCAGTAGCTCGATCGACTCCAGGGGACCGTGACGTCGGTTGGCTTCTGGGCACCTCAGCGACGAGAACATCGCAGACTCCAGAGGCCATCCTGGTGAAGCTCCTGATTACCAGTCGTTGAATGTCGAATTGAAGTTTGACTTCGGTCGCGAGCGTGTAGAATTTCCAAGGTCAGCATCACAGCATGAGCGGCCTCTGTCAAAGGCAGTGTCGCTGTGAACCACGCTGTAAAGGCCACTTGGAGTAGAGTCATGTCATTCAAGAATAAGGCGAAGATGGTGGGGATGAACATGGCGGGCGAAAGTCAGTGGGAAAACGGAAATAACCAGGCTATGATAGAAGACACAGTCTGAATAGACTCCTCGTCTTGTCTCGGATTCAGCGCAGTAGAGCAGTATCGACCGTCAATGAGAGCCTAATCGGATTCTATAATATGCCGTAGGTCCTGGATGCGTGGAGTGAACTTGACCTTGAACGGAAGAGGATGTACTATGCCTCCTTCCGTGAACGCAGAGGTGTCTATGGGGGCCGAGGGATCCTGAGATAAGCTGAAAGCCCAAAGGAGTTGTGTGGTCGTCATCGCCATAGACCTAACAAACATGTGAGTGAATGAGGATCATTCAGAGCAATGCGACCTCTCACCTCTCCGCAACATGTATTCCCGGACATACTCTGCAGTGCGTAGAAACACAGTGAGAAACAATTGAACATGTAATCATCCGGGTTACGCACCGTCTCCCAAATCCAAAGTCGAAGTGCTTGAGGTCATCCCTCAGCCGGCCGTTGGGGGCCACCCACCGCGACGGTTTGAACACATCTGGATCCGGGAACACATCTGGATCGCGCATGATTGACCTATCGAGCAATTTGAGTGCAGTTCTATCTGGATTGTGAGGTGCGTACGTACCAAGCGATGCCTGACACTGAGGCTCCTGCGGGAATGACATACTCATTCTGTCAAGAAATCAGCGTGCTGGCCGAATTTCTATAGCAAGGACAGTGAGCGCACCCAGACAATATCTTTGGTTGCACGATGTTGGAGGCTCAATGGAATGATTGGCCTCCATCGGTGCGCCTCAGCTGCAAATGCAGCCGCTAGCGGCAACAACTTCAGATCCTCGAAGTTTGGCACTAGAGAGTATCGAGAGGTTAATTAACTGGTCAAACGGCTTCTTAAGTGCAAATACCTCTGTCGCGACCGACCACAGCATCGATTTCGGCTTGTACCTTCGCCTGCTCCTCTGGATGGCATGCGGCGGCCATAGTAACGATGCCCAGCCCTGACGCAGTCTTCCAACATACGCAGTGAGCTGAAGTACAGAGACGCTCCGTTGACAGACGTACCGTATCTGAACCAGCCCCGTACATCGATCCCGCCAAGTACGCCAACTCTTGATCCGTCAGATTCAACGTCTTCTGGTGCTCCAACAGATATTCTGTGAAGCTAGGAGACACACTGTGATCGATCTAACATCCCCCAGAACGAATTATGAGCTCTGAGTAACGAGAGGAAGCGCCGACGGAGTCGGCCTTGACCTTGCGTAGCAGCCTGAATCTGGAGTAAACACGATGAAAGTGTATATGAAAGCAGCCGGAGAACATCGTATACATTGTCATATTCTGACAGGAGCCAGAAAGCTACGAGTACTATAGCCTCCGGTGGATTGTTCACGTTATGAGCCAGAGTTGGTCATAAGTTGGTCTTTCGGTCGACTACTCATCTGGAAAAAACCAAACTCATCAGGAAAAACGCTCCTGCATAACTTACACATAAGTTATGAAGGCCCTACATAGGTTACACCTAAAGCTCATAAGTTATGCATAAAGCCCGCTAACGTACATAGAGTCGCTAAC